TTTTTTTTTTTTTTTTTGGACAAAGTCAGCATTCTTTAAAAGAGAACAAGCAATACATGCTCCAAGTGCATGATTGGTCTAAGCAGATCTTAAAAGCAAGGAAAACACCTATTAGAAAAGCAGGAAGAATTCGTACCGTGCAGTGGGATCGTGACCTTCTGTCCCACTTTCCCCAGCCCTGTAGTGGTTGTCATGGTCAGCACTGTCTGCCCAGGAGACACTGACACGTTTTCAGCACCAATGCTCGATGCTGGAGCAATTGTCAACTTAGTTCCTTTGGGTAAGATTTTTTCCATCTGTGTTTCTCGGGGGCTGTCATCTCCAAAGAGCCTTCTCTTGGCACTTCCAGCTGCAGGAGAACTATAGCGCTCGTGAACTGAGATTGGAGACAAGGGCTGCATGTCTGGTATGCCAAGGACAAAAAGATAAAATCAACAAAACCTTATGAGCAGCAGCTTAATGGGAATACTTCTCCAGAGAAGGGGAAAGGTTGCCTTCCAACTACACCAGAGTACCAGAGATCTCTTCTAGTTCAGACCTGCTCTCAGAGTTCACTGTTCCCAGGTGATGTGAACGAGATCTACAGTCTGACTCCTTTTATTTTGCAGTCATCCCAGACAGCACAGTTTTCCCATCAGGTACCACATGGAAGCCGAGTAACCAAACAAATTTGCAGAGACTGAGGAACACACAAGGTCACAGATACTCCAGTCTGCTTAGCAATCAGTAATATTTGCAAGTGCTATTCCTCTGAACACAGTTACCTACAGGAACACTGACCATATTCCCTGGATATGCAGTCTTCTCTATGTTCTGGCTTTCAAGCTCTCTCTACACTGACCTGAGTCCGGTGCCTCCACCCTCACCCACTCCTGGTTCCTCTCAGGCTTTTCTGTTGCTTTCAAATACTTCCTCCAGCAGTAAGGCCAAAGTACACTGCACTAATGTACAGGCTTCAGTTCACAGGCTTTTTGCATTTCTGCTGCAGTCTGCGAAGATACCAGTGACAGGAGTTTCCCATTTCCCAGAAAACAGAAACTTTCTGGATAATTGGTCAGGTTAAGACTGATTGGAGACCACATTCCTAACTCTGCCAAGATGGTTCTCTTGATACCAGGGGCAAATAAGCATTTCAAATCCCCACCATACTCCAGCTGAAGTTAGGAGGAGCCTCTGGTACCAGATTCTCATATACAAGGTCACATCTCACACGTCACACCCATATATGACACCATCTCCAACAACAAACCACAACACCTACAGCAACTGCTTGTACATCTCTTTCCTAAGGAGTATTTAAAAAAAAAAAATCAGTCTTGTCCTGCAATTTGCCAGATAAACACCAAGGGGGACATCACACAACCAATAAGTCCATGGTGCACCTGCAAGAACATATGGAATAGTGTCTGGGATACAACAAAAGCAGCAATTCCTAACTAGGGGAGTATGCAAAGGAAACAGCAGTGCTGGCACTGCCTCTGCACCCTCACTGTCAGGAGATAATTCTATGTCAGATCCAGGAATCTGCAAAGAACTGTACTTCAGAGCAGAGAATACTGCAGGCACAGTATTGCCCTCCCATCCTGCACCAAAATAGTTTCATAGGAAGCAGGAATAAATGCACCAGTCATTTCATTAAAAAAAAAAGTCACCTAAAATCCAATCAAACTCACTGATAACGAACAAATAAAAAGCCAAAAAACCCTAAAAAAATCTGAACATCAATGGACAATAAGCGATTACATGACAACCCACCTGAGAGTAAGGTCACTCTGGCATCAAACCAGCAGCAAAACCTGCTCCAGTCCAGCAGGGAAGCACCATCACCACTGTCTGCTGCCAGTGAGACACAGCACTGGTTTGACTGGGTGAATCCAGACCTTCCCTTGATCAAATAAGAGGCTTCACAATTCTGAATGCTTAATTCACATTCAAGATTGCTTTTTGCAATTACAAAGAAGCTTAAAACCCCTCCCCCCAAATTCACACATTCAAATCGTATCAGAAACCTTGAACATACCCCGTCTTAAACTCCCACCAAGATCTGTTCGAACCTCTTTTACTCGAGGATGAATTATGGGAGATAATGGCATCATAGGCAAATGCCCAAGCCCACTTCCTCCATTGCTGGCTTCAAAATTACTGGGAAATATTACCTGAGAAATAAGAAATGTCAGTGTAAGATAACAAATGAATTTCCCTTCTTTGTGCCAATCTATTAATAGAAGATTTTCTGCAGCAATTGTCTCATTTGAACAAATTTCTGTATAAAGCAACAGTGAATTTCCTATTTAAAGGAAAACAGACCACCTACTTCTTCACAGGTTGGGACTTTGTTGTCTGATGCCTCGAGTGCATTCCAGAGTGCCGAGTTCCGAGTCCAGGCAAGACTCTCCAGAATTTGTTCCTCAATGCTGTTGAGGTGCTTCACCATGTCTCTGGAAAGTCCTTCCTCAGACCGAATCAGCACTTCAATGACCTGATGGCAATCACACACACCCCCCAAAGTCACGTGGCTCATGTTTAACGTTATCAGACTGTTCTTTATTTCATGACCCTGTTTGAAACTTCAACAGAGTGCTCCAGCCTTCTCCTTGTATCTTCATCTTCCTCAGCCCTCTTCTGATCCCCCTTTTTTTAATCTCCTTTCCCAAAGGCAACCCAGGAGTCAGAAGTGGACAGCACATGTGCCATCAATGCAGACCAACCCACTCCAGGGGTTTTTAGGCCCTCTCTTCCCATTGCTAAGCATGCACAGAAAGAAACACTGAGCACACCCACAGCTCACCATGCAGCACGTGCAGCAGACCTGGGGAGATGGGAACAGCTACAGCTGCTCAGCAGGGCATGTGGCAACCCCAGCATTCCAGCTTTCCTGCCCTTCAAACCAGCAGCCCATTACATGAAGGGTTGAAAACCACTGCTCCAAAGTTTTAAGAAATGCTCAGAACCCTTAATGTGGACAAGTGGGGGTTGAACAGATCCCCTGCAGCATTGTACTCCACCCCCATGCTCCAACACAAAATCCACTTTATTTATTTTACTCCTGTCTGAAGAGCACTCAGATTGTTTTTCTAAAGGTCCAGAAATGGAAATGCCATAAGACTTCCCTGGAGGACTTATTGATATTTTTAGTTATTCCTGCTACAGAAACTAAGCATCTGGAGAACAAAGTTACAAATGTCACAAGTCTCCGTGGTGTGAAGCCTTTGTGATGGCAATTTTTTTCACGTAAGAGCGCTGCAATACACTGAATAGCAAAAAAAAATTCAAATCAAACATAAATCTGTTCCACAAAGTTGGGTCTGCACCAGTGCATTTCATTTTGAAGGAGGCTACCAAAAGCCACAGCAATATTGACAGATTTGTTTCAGCTTCAGTACTGCCCTAAGCTGATGAGTGAAGGAAAAAGGGAGAAGAGAATATAAA